CTTCCTTATGCGATCGATCGTTCTGTCATGTTGGATGCTCCTCCCGCTTGCCAGGTGGGAGTTCCATTCCCTGCGAGAGGAAAAGGAGGTCGCGGTGGATGTGGGGAAGAGCACACCCCAGATGAATTCTCCCGTCTATGCGGGAAGAGGTGGGGGCCAGAGGTTGCAAACAGAGGCCAGTACTGCCTATGATTTGAGCATAGCCACATACACATTTACATGTCATCCAATCTCTGTGTAATGTGTTCTTTTCTGGGTGTTGATATTGGGTGAAGCGGGCCACATACATTATAATATTGACTCCCAGGGTCATGAGTGAGGTTAAGTGGCTGGTTCCATAGCATCTATCGATAAAGAGTGTGATGAGGGTAGGGCCCTGACCAGCTAGCTCAGCCGTGGGCAAACTATGGCCCGCAGGCCGGATCCGGCCCGTTTGAAATGAATAAAACTAAAAAAAAAAAAAAAAAAAAAAAAAGACCGTACCCTTTTATGTAATGATGTTTACTTTGAATTTATATTAGTTCACACAAACACTCCATCCATGCTTTTGTTCCGGCCCTCCGGTCCAGTTTAAGAACCCATTGTGGCCCTCGAGTCAAAAAGTTTGCCCACCCCTGAGCTAGCTTATATTGTGCTAGTGGGAGAGGAAGGTTTTCTCACCTCCCTGATATTCATGGTGGTCAGTGTGATCCCGAAGCCTTTTAGAATGAGGCTTGATAGAAATTAATGATGTAGTAACATTAGCATTGCCTCGCCCCATGGGGTACTTTTTCCCAGTTGCCATTTGCTTACCACACTTTGAGGATCCACCCCCGACACATCCTGGACTCTGAGGCCCACACCTCTCACCAGCGAGAATCCCTGGGCCCCGCCCTGCACCTTTCCCGTCCCCTCAGCGTTCACCTCCTCCAGGAAGGCTTCCGGGCATGAGTCCTCTCCCTCCCTCAGCCTGGGTACGATGCCCCAGTGTTCTCTCAATCATCCATATGCCCAGCTTCCTCACTGTGGACTACAGGGCAGTTACATGTGTTCTGTGTCAGTGGCTCGCACATGCCCGTGGTGGTGCAGTCTGTAGGGGAAGCATGGCATTGTGGTGGCAGAATTGCAAAGGGTTCCTGGGCAGGGAGTGAGGAGCTGGAAAAGGACGTGCAGCTGCGCTGGGCCTCCCTCGCCTGCTGTCATACAGGAGGCTGGCCCAGGACCCTGCAGACCCCCGTCATCAAGGGGAAGGTGCAGAAAGCAGTGCCGTTGTTTCAAACCTATTGCCTGCCCTGCCTGTCTAAACGCATGTCACACCTCAAGGTGACTCGTCCTGTCTCCTCTGGGACCTGCCCAGCGCCTCTCCAGCCCTGGCCTCCTCTGCCCCTGCCTCATGGCCATTACTGTTGCTCACACAGATTCATGTGGCTTCCAACCCCGCTTCTTCCAGGCAGGGGCTGCTCCCCGTCTCTCCCCAGTGCTTTCGACCCGATCAGCACCGAGTAGTAAATACACTGCCGAACCATGCCGGTTCCCTACTTAAACCATGCAGTTCGTAGGGGCTGTAGGTTTCCCCTTACTCCCTTTCTGTTCCTTCCTGCCTTCTTCCTGCTCCATACCTGCCGTCACAGAGGGTGGGTCTCTGAGAGAAGGCAATGCGGGGGGCGTGGGGGGGGGGCGGTGTTGTAAGAGGCGAGTCAGCCAATTTTGCACTGTGGTTTAGGGAGGGGTGTATTCACTTCCATCAGACCCCGAGACCATGGGGTACTGTGCAGGCTCCACTCTGCTGGCCGCGCTCATGCTCCAACTCAGAGTGGGCCAGGCCGTAGCTGGATGGGGCCCTGGGCTGCATGCTGCCCGGGAAGAGGAAACGCGGCCAACTGGGGAAAGCGAGTAGAAATGCCCACGTGAATTCCGTGTCTGACACACGGGCCGTGGTTATGTAACAGTGTCCCCGTACAGGAGGCTGGGTAACGGGTGGACGGGAACACTGTGTGTTATCTCTGCACCGTGTCTGTAAATCTAAAGTTATTCCGGAATAGAAAGTTTATTTTAGAAAAAGTGGGCCAAAGTGCAGATTTTAGTCTGGCTAGCAGGCTCTTACTGCATGAACAGCCTCACATCTAGTTATATCCTGGCCATTTGTAGAAAAAGAATGGAAATGAGGGCTGCAGGGAAGTTTTGGAAGGTTTCTGCAAAGTGTCTGTGCAAAGGCAGCGGCAAAGATCAAAACAAAACAAACATAAACCGGACCTGGATGCGCTTGGGGAGGTAGGGGTGGGGGTGGGGGTAGAGGAGGCAGGGCCGTAAAAATGTGAAGCCGGATGGGTCATTTGGGACAGGCGGCCAGAGCAGGGCTTTCTCTTGGACTGGAGCAAGACCCGTGGCCTTCATTTCCTCCTCTTTAAAACGGCCCCGCCCAAGGCACAAACAAACAGATGTAAAGTAAATCCTTAAACAAATCGAGTGGTTCTGTGTCAGACTTTGTCCTTGGTGCTCACACGTGGGAGAGCGCCTCAGCCTCAGCCGCGGGCTGGTTCCCATCAAGCCCTCGGGCCGCAGGTCTGATTCGGCGGGAGCGTTTTCACTTTGCACTTGGCACGGCTCTGCTTCCTCTTACATGATCTTCATGCCAAAGCCAGAGCCATTCGCCTTCTAAATATAGTGGAACAGATGTGCGCGAGGGCTGCACAAAGGGCCTTTCTTTTCCCCTCAGCCAGACACCAGTGCGGTTCTGGGAGGCTCCTGGGTCACGGGAAAGGGGGAGGCTGCCTTTTCAAGCGCCGGAGCCTTCGGAGCCTTCGTTACTTTATATCAGTTTCTTACCCGGGATGGTGAACAAGTGTCTGTGCCCAGACTCTTGAGAGATCCATCAACTCCTTAAAGCTGAATGTAACGTTCATGTAAAAAAATCATATACAACACAGTATGTACGTGTCTCAAGGGGTGTTTACTTCACCGTCAGGGGTCCACACTGGACGCTAAGCACTGCTTCAGATACACAGCCTCCAGGGCAAAAAGCCTAAATGGCAAGACACTCCCTCTATCTAGGTAAAGATTCAGTCACGTAAAGGTCTAGCACTCAAACCACCAACAAAAACTCCCAGACAATGGCTGGCTGGTTGATTTCACTGTTTGGACCCATAGCACCCAACGAATTTCCAGGGCTGCACCTCCAAGCACTCAGGCTTGTCACGGGTGCTTTCTCCCAGCCGTGGCCTCGCGTCTTCTCCTCCTGGAGGCACGAGGCCACACGGGTCATCAAACCATCTCAATGCAAAGGATCTCTCAGGGGTGGATACCCAGGTAACTGGCTCTCCTTGCCCTTCTAGTCCTGGCGTGTTTCTTCGTGACACATGCCCTGACCTGGGAACAGGTGCGCGTGCACCCAGTGAGACGTCGGAGCACACCGGACTGAACTGAACGTGCCGCCTTCTGGCTGGCAGGGCAGAGCATTAGGGTCCCACGTGCAAATTAAATGTAGGCTCCTGGGGGACCTGAACACAAGCAGCACCCTGGTTCGTCTTGTCTGCAAGCTGTCCTCTACAGTGGCTGACTCAACCTTAGGCTGTCAGTCAGGAGAAAGGTGGCCGGTCATTAAAGCCTGGGATACACATTCCACTTGGTCTTATATGAATGGACCCAGTTATGAGACGAAATGAGATTCCCTGTCTCAACTTCTTTGGATAGTCTTCATTTTTAACAATATTGGGATCTTTTTAACTTCCAGATATTTTCATTTCTCCAGCAACTTAACTCCCCTTTGGAAAATGTCCCCAAGTCAAGGTTTAAGGTACTCCTCTGAAATGAAACCTGTGAGTAGACTCTAGAAGAGTCACTGAAGGGGTGCCCAAGCTCATTGTCCCCCTTCTGAACATATGATCAAATATAATACTAAAAGACTAAATGCTCATGGCTCTTTTGTATATATTTAAAACACACAGCAACATAAGAACATCTCGAATCATTTAGAAGAAAGAAGGGTTATCAACCAAAATCTTTGGAAAGTTCATAAAATTTAAATATCTGCAAACTTTGCAACCAAAGAGAAAAAACTCCAACGTTTGGCAATGGAGGGCACTTCACACGTGAACCACATGGTGCTAACATTCTCCTTCCGGTAAACTAGTCACTAAACCCCATTAGAAAGAACACAAGAGCGATCACGGAGACGTCCGGCAACCACCTGGCACGGGGCCAGGACACTGTCAGCAAGTGCTCATCTACCCCGGGCTTCCTTTCCATTGCAGGCTTGACTGTACACTTCTACAATGCAAGGTTGACACAGCCTCCAAGTGTTGCAAAGTAGATTGATGTCCATTCTACAAAAATATTAACTTACAGTACATAACACTGAATAATTTTAATCTGTACATTTTTTTTTCCTCCCACAATAGGTGACACAGGTCAGTTTGTACAAGTTGGAAAAAAACAACAACACATCTGGTTGTTCACATCTGGATTAAGAGTCAAAAGAGGTCAACCAGAAGTAGTGGGGTGGGGACAGTTTGAGAAGGAAGCAATACAGTGTAATAGTAATTGTGGTTAACAGGATTGAGCTCTTAGCAAAGGGATACAAAATAAATCACCTAGATTTCTGACGGCAAAGATCTAGCCAAGAAGGTTCTGCCAAAGCAGTCGACCAACTGATCCCAAGGTGAGGCAGGCTCAGCTGAGGGACTGCAGCACAGCCAACAGCATGGCGCCGGCCAGAGCTCTTCAATGCACCGCCTCAGTGTCACCCGCACACTGGTTCTATTCCTCCAACCAGTTACTCCTCTAGACAGTTTCCTTTTGGTTTCACATGCATCCCATTCCGTTTTCATTAAGGGCATCTCTTCCTTGGTCATTCATGTGCTTTTCGATTTGTTTTTGTGATTTTTGTGTGTATGTGTTTTGTTGGTTAAGCTGTCAATGCCTCCAACACTTGGAAAATGCAATATAGGTCTGGTTTCACTCACAGAAGAGAATCAGAGCTCTATGGACAATGCAAAATGAAGTGAAAGAAGTGTCAGAAACAGTTTATAAAAATGGCACATTTATTGCTACAGAACGGTCATGTACATGACTTCATCGATAACTACAGATGGGACAGGTAATGGCCTGGACCAGGCTGGGCTTGCTTTTGTCTTGAAGAAACTCCAGCACACAACCTGTTTGGACACGTCTACAAATCAGAAATACACCAAAAACATGAAAAAATCGAGGCACTCAGCCACACATTGAAAACAAGGTGTAACTGTTTATCTTTTTTTCGAAGTGTTTTCCCTTTTTTTTTCTTTTTTTAACAATTTTTTTTTTTTAGTTTTTAATGCTGCAGCTATGTGTACAGTCGCAAAAAATTTCCCCGCTGCGACCTACAACTAAAAAAATAAACAAATGAAACAAAACAAAAAAAAACAAACAAAAAAAGCTACCATACAGTTTCATCTCAGTAACACATGGTAAAATAACATCTTTTAAATAGTAAAATAAAGTAACAAACTTTACTCATAATGATTCCAAAAATCTACAAAGAAGAAATATTCAGAATCTGACAATTTTTTTTGTAATATTCATGGTATAAAAGGATTGCTCCTACGAAAAATAAGCCAAATATATTTTTATTTTTAAATTTAGTTTTTTTTTTTCTTACTAGGGTGTACTACAGTCTATTTTATAGCAAAAAGAGCACTAGACAAACAAAGCTTTATAACAAAAAGCCAGGCACTGATACATGGTAAATCTCTGCTTTTTTTTTTTCTTATCTTCACTTAATTGCATCACAAGTAACAAGAATGAAAAAGGCCACAGTTCATATATTTCACCGTTACATATGTCTATAATACTTGAAATGAGGATGGCAAAACCAGCACTGCACGAAGATGAGTCCACGTCAAGTCCCATGAGAAAGAGCATGTCTCTAAAGAAAAACAAACAAAACCAAAGCAAAATAAAAAGAGAGGCCTAGCGGCCTTGGTGCCCCATCGTGTTGGAATTCATCATATTCCATCTTGACTTTTTGTTTGTTTGTTTGTTTTGTTTCCAGTCAGCCAGCAGACTAAATTTTTGTGCTTATTTATGCTGAAAATGTTTCATTCCTGACTCAAGTTCACTTTTGGACACAGATCATATTCTGCCTGTTGGATCCAAGACGAAATCCTCTTAACCCCAAGTCTTGGTTCACCTCCCTCCCCAACCCCGAACCCCTCATCAAAATAAAGATCACAAATAAAATAAAAAAATCAAGAAATAGGAAAAAAGCGAAAAACAGAAAGGAATCGGAAGACTGAATCAGAACCAGTTGCGTCACTGGGTGGACTGACAGTTGTATAAACATTAGTGTTCCTTGCAGCTACACAGAAGACAAATGGTAAACTTGCTAGATGAACAGATCCCTATTCTGCATATTCATAAATTACTTGAATGTGGAGGTGGATCAATGGTTCCAAGTTGCTTTAATGTCCAAGTCTCTTAAACAGATCCCCAGCCTAGGTATCATCACACATAGAGTATGGACCCTTATGGCATTTTTGTGTAGTTCTTTAATTCTGTCTTCTGCTAAACTTCATTAGAAAAATCCAGCACAGGATACCAATATCTTACCTGGGTTTGATAATTTACAAAACAACGAGAAAAAACACACTAAGAAGGCCACATTCCCTTTCATCTTTTTCTTCCTTTCTTTTTTAATGGGGACACAACCCAATTACACGGATAGGTGCAGATGTTTCTCCACCAAGCAAAAAGTACTGAGCAGCGTTTGGTGGCCATTAGAAAGTTTTTCGCTTCTTTCCAAAGGGAATTCGACAATAGAGGTATTACATTACTGGGTAATGAATACATCAAAGCTGGTGAACAATAAATTGCAGCTTTTCCTCTGTTGGAGTGAGAACAAAATATAAAGCACCAATTTAAAAAATAATCAAATAACTACAATTTAGTTTTTTGCTCTGTTTACAGATTTGAAAACCTTTAAATCAGCTCTATTAAGCACCTGTATGATAACGTGTATCAAAAGTGCCATTCTTAACATGTACATCAACACAGGGAGTGTTTCCAGTTCCCTAAAGAGTAAACACCGTATTTTCTTCTGTACACTTATCCTGAATGTGATCAAAGTAGACCTGCTTCCTATATATTGTTCCTAGGGATACCCGCCTTGGTAGACTATACAAAGTGAGTGCAGAATGTACCACTAAAGGAAATCTTTACATACCAGGGAACACAGACACATGTTTTCCATTATTTCAGAGGAGGGGAGCGGACACAACACTGTCTTCCATGCCCTCTTGGAGTCCCTTTGTTCATACATTTCACAGGAAAGCCTCAAAATAACTCTTCATGACGTTTGATTTCTGCTATTCTCCTAAGGTTTTAATCCACCTCCACATTTTAGGAACTTATCAACAAATCAAAGTATTTTAGTTTTATCACTACTGAACATATTTACAGTTTTCAACACACACACACAGCTAATCAAAATGTTTATGGGTTTGTAAAAGATGACCACGTGGTAACTACCTTATTTGTTCTTACATTTTCAGAAATGAACATAAAATTCAGATTCTTGTAGCTCACTATTTCATTTAAATGAGACGTTTTTAAACCACACAGTTAAAAAAAACAAAACAAAAACCAATACAATGTATTAAAACACATAATAACAAGAGTCTACGTGTAAAAATATAACTTTTACATACACAATTTCAAAATAATGATACGTTTGCCGTTTGTTGCATAAAATTTACAAATGTATTTCATTACTATATAACTGGCAAAACAGGAGAACAGATGGAACATTTAGACCATTTTGATGGATTTATGGCATTTACTCAGTGCTGATAGGTGGAAAAAACTACTTGAATAGGGATTTTTTTTTCTTAATACATGCCAAGATTGTGTGGCTGTAAAAACAGAAACGAGTTAGAGACAAAAGGATGCTGACAAATACTTAACTAGGAGCACTATTTGTTTACTGCACTATACACCAAACTCAATCATTATAAAGATTCACGTTGGAAGTTGGTTCAATTGTGCCCAGACGTCAAAGCTAGCTATCTGATGAGTTGCTGTGCCATAGCTTGATCTATGTTTCTATCAAATATGTTAGGTATAAACTTCATTCATACTGGCCAGAGAAATACTGCACTACCCCTCCTCAAGAAAGTGCAACTTAATGCTTTAGGACTTATAAGGCTTGTTATAATGCTGCATGATGATTGAATATTGGCATTTTTCAGATGGAGGAGGCAGTTATATCATCTACATCTTAGTAAACCCATTTTCAAAAAAAAAATCAAGAAAGCAACAAAATCAATCAGCTCTGTCACACTACTTGCAATTTTCTCATTTGATGGTTTTTGAACTTTACTTGTTTTTTTGTTTTTGTTTTTTTCCAAAAATCTGACCATGTATTCAGAAACGCCTCACTGCACACTACTTCGGCTACACATGTAGGTAACACTTTAATCATTTTGTTAAATCACAGCCACTTTGATTATGTTATGTTTCCGATGATATAAACATTGGAAGGCACAGTGGTAACATTGTAGCATTCTAACCTTGTACCTCTGAAAATCCCAGGAGAGGGCCACACGCTCAACATTACAGTTCAGACACACTCCTTTTGCCGTGTCTTAGTAATGCTGCTAGTAATATCTACACATGATGTGACTTTTAAGTCCCGTGTTCCCAAAAGACTGGAGAAACAACTTTCTACTTATTCGTGAATGAAAAGCAACATCAGGGTCGGCGTTTCATCCTGCACTACCCCTCCGGAAGCAGAGTTGGCACTACAGGTTACGATAACAAACTGGGAAGGGACAGAAAGAAGACCAAAAAAAAAAAAAAAAAAAAAAAATCCGTATTTACAGTAAAATCTTTCTTTTAAAAAAGTTAATCAGTACTATTTTTTTACAGGAGAAAAAAGTCTGAAACAAATGAACAAAAGCTTACCATAGTCACTAAATTTTTAATATATATTTATATATATATTTATATATATATTTGTCATAGGTCTATAAGATCCATCTGTTCCTCCTACCCTAAGGAATGGCTAATGTCATCACTTCGCTGTCTCAGGACGTTTGCTGGTTTTGTTACTAGGGCAGCCGAGCTTCCCTCATTCGCTATCCAGGAATTATAAACACTAGCTGACTTGAATACCAACAAAAACGTTCATGTAGTTTTCTTCAGAAGTACACTTTTTCATTATTGCAAGTTTACAATTTTTAAATTAAATATTTTTTTCAGACTTACAAATTAATTATATTTTTTTTCCAAAAGAAGTTTAGGCACAAATGCATTGTTCCACAGTGTGGAAGGATTGCCATTCAGTCTCTGGGCTGATCTCAGCCTGCTCACACCGCTTTGCACATTCTGAATGATATGTTAGAGAGAGTCATCCCTCAAGTTGCACTTTTTTCTTTCTTTTTTTTGTTTGTTTTTCGGTTTTTTGATAATTGGGAATGCTGAAACCTCTTGCGTCTGCGATTCATAACTACTCAGACTTGTCTTATATTACAAAAAAGGGGTCAGGGAGAAGTGTTTATGTGGGTTTAAGATAATACAGCTGTTAAGGAAGTGGTCTCTTGTGTTAATGAAGCAATGTGGCAGCTTGGACCTGAGAAGGAAAAGAAGAGGGGAAATAATTAGTACATTGACAACAGTAGAAGTAAACGTTTTATTCTTAAACTCTTCTATCAAGGGGAAAATCTGTTAATCTGGGGAAATGGACTGATCGGGCCACCACTTTGGTGGGAGTAACTGGGAAGGCTGGTGTAGGGACAGCTCACTTGGGAGCACCAGAGGGAAGGCTGGGTGCAGGGGGCTCACTTGGGAGCACCACAGGGAAGGCTGGGTGCAGGGGGCTCACTTGGGAGCACCACAGGGAAGGCTGGTGTAGGGACAGCTCACTTGGGAGCACCAGAGGGAAGGCTGGGTGCAGGGGGCTCACTTGGGAGCACCAGAGGGAAGGCTGGGTGCAGGGGGCTCACTTGGGAGCACCAGAGGGAAGGCTGGGGGCAGGGGGCTCACTTGGGAGCACCAAAGGGAAGGCTGGGTGCAGGGGGCTCACTCTGGAGCACCACAGGGAAGGCTGGGTGCAGGGGGCTCACTTGGGAGCACCAGAGGGAAGGCTGGGTGCAGGGGGCTCACTTGGGAGCACCACAGGGAAGGCTGGTGCAGGGGAGCTCACTTGCCCTTTCACATCTGTCCCATGTGGTTCGAAGCGTCTCCCATTCCAGGGTGAGGGCCCGCCAAGGACAGCGGGGGCGGCTCCGAGGATACCTTTTCCTCCTCCCTTCTTTTCAGACATGCAGCTTTCGGGTTCAGATTCCTCTCTGTGGAGAAGGAAGCACAAAGCCTTCGGTTACTGCCCAGGCTGCTGGTAGGGAGCAGCGTGTACCCTTCTGGGGACCCTTTCCTCACGTTTACAGATAGAAGGGACAGTTAGAGAGTGCACTAGAGACTCCCTCCCTCAGTCACTGGTAGAGGGTGAGCTGCGTGGTGGAGTCACAGAGCCCTTGATAGTATCAGAAAGCTGGTAAAGCAAATATACGAAGCACCGATGACTGACTGCACGGGGAAGCTTCACACTGCAGTCTTAGTGGTAAGAGGATCCTATAACTTTATTGCAGGAGAAAGGGGAGCTGCCTGTAGATTCAGTCGTGGTCTGCAATGGACAGAACTCTCCTGAGCTGTGCTCCTGTGTCCTCTCCGCTCCTGCTCAAGGCAGGCGAGTCCTTCACGCTCCCTCCAGCCCCATGAGACGTGGCTTCTGCAAGGAGCCCGCTGCCGGCACTGACCTCGGACCTGCTGCTCCAGGCTGAGGATGACGGCCACGGCCTGGTGGAGGATCAGGAGCTTGGTCTGCGGCTTGTCACTCTTGAGGTGGAGCTGCACCATGCGGCCCAGCTCCTTGAAAGCCTCGTTGATGTCGCGGACGCGCAGGCGCTCGCGGGCATTGTTGGCCATCCTCCGCTCCTTCTCACGCTCCGCCTTCTGCTCGGGTGTCAGGTCCTCGTCGTCGTTATTGCTGTGGGACAAAAGGGACGGGACATTTTCTAATGGTGTGGGGAAAAAGGCGGTGACTCAATTACTTTTGCTTTCTTCCAGAGTTTGCGCGGAATGTTTCCATCTCAAGCTCTTGTCCTTAGCAGAGTTTTACGTGCACTGGAGCTAGGATTGCTTTGGATGGCTGTCACAGGCCCTAGATTAACTCAAACTGAACAGGAGAGGTTAAAGTTAGGGCCCAGAGTACGCCCATACTACTGCCGGAGGCTACACCCTGCAAAGCCGGCCACAGTCAACTTCAGCTGAAGCCGCACCACAGGAGGGCAACCCAGAAAGAATAGTTTTAGAAGTTGCTCTTCTGTTTTGTTTTTAACTTTCATACCGTGACATCTGAAAGTTAAGGAAACTAAGTGATTGCAAAAACAGTTTGAGATGTCAAAATTAACGTGGTGCTGCTGTCAGGATGAAGCTCCTACATTGAAGACACCAGAGCAATGGGAGTGAAGACTTTTGTCCAGGTTTCTCCAGGAATTTGCTTTAAAGGTTTGTTCATTCCACTGAAAGTATCTGAGTCTCATTTTCTCTGTGCATTCAATAAAAATGTTAGAAACACATAATCTCCATGGCCTTTAATGACATGGGTGTTTATGATCCAAAAACAAGCGAGGGGAAACCTGAGTTGACCTGAGCTGTGTAAAACAAGCAAAGCAAAACAAACTCCAAAGTCCTACCGGCTAGAGCTTCTGACTCATTGTGAGTCAAAAATGAAGCCAACAAGCTAATCTCTGACTGTGAGAACAGAAATATTGTGTGATTCATACCAAAGGCATGGCTGGACCCTGTAGAGTCTGGAAAGGCAAGATTATGTCTGTTTGTGGGTGTCATGCTGACAAATGAGAAGAAACTTTTGAATGGAGGGCAAATAGGAGGATGAGCCATCTGGAAAGCATAGCATAAAGGTTTCATGGCATCAGGGCTTCAAGTGTTTCATGGGCGATTATGTAAAAAGAGGCGTGGGAGATGTCTTGCTTAAGGAAGACAGAATTGAAAAGAAGAACTTCGAGCAGAATAGTTTGATTTAATATGAACAAGAGTTTTGGTGGCATGAGAGATATCAAAAATAAAGTAAACATTACCAAAAGTAATAGGCTCTCCATGACGAACAGCAACAACAACAAAAAAATCCAAGAAACAAAAAAACAATATGGAGGCGACCAGCTACAAGGATGTTAACCAATAGATTTAAGCATGGCTTTAAATAACCATGAAGGTTAACCTCTATTTTAAAATCCCACGAATTTGAAATGTTCACAGAAAAAGTGTTATCACAGCACTTCAGAGCTGGAGGACATGTGGGAAGTTATCTGGTCAATGTGATGTACACTTAATGAAGTTGGCTTAAACTACATGGCTCTAAATCTTCCACTTTGGAGAATCTCTGGGTAATTTCCAGAGTGTAATAAAGATCAACTATGGTTTACAAGCCCCAATCGAGCAAAAATGGAAGTGATAGCCCTGGGTTGCGAGCACGTGTTGCACATAAAGGTGGCCATTTAAGCCAAGAATGCTTGTAAGGGAGGGTAGAAGGGAGGCACCAGAGAAAGATGTTGTAAGACTTGGGTCATCTCCCCAGAGGTACACCCTCCTGCAGATGAAATGGTGTTCTGTGGATGTGTGCTAGTGAACACACAACCGACCTGAACCAGTCGGAAAAGGTTCTGCCATCTGATCCTCCCACTTCACTGCTGAGCCTTCTCTCCCTCACCCATGACCTCTGCTGTTGCCAAGGAAATCAAGCTGCCTATTACTATAGGATGTAATAAGTGAAAGGAGAACACAGTCAAGTTTCTGCTGGGACTGTCTTGAAGTTAAAAATTTTGGGTAATATTTTTATATATGAAGCACATGCCATACCTTTCACAGGGTGGGCCTGAAAATGGGAATTGTTTTCCAAAGTTACTGGGGCTAATAATTAATTAGAATTGGTTATGCAAATCAAACTGCCTAGATTTGAAAAGCAATGCCTTACCACACATTTTTGGAGGTTTGAGTAAATGTCACAGGGGTGACCTTTTAAAATATGAAGATTCTTAACAGCAAGTTAAAATGTTGTGCTGAAACATCACAAGGTAAATGAATATGCACACTAGTAAGTATGGCCACTGCTTCAGTTACTGAGGACTGACCGGACTAACAGAGAAGGTGGTGCGCATGTGCAAGCCCTTGGGATTTCTCACCGATGTGGCCAAGAGCCAGGGAACCGCAGTGATGATAAAGGGAGAAGCTAGAAGCTTTTAGGGTTTTTGGAACTTGTGATAGGACATGTAATAAAATGTATCATAATAATAATAATAATAAAGACAATATGAAAAGGTGGCATCTTCTTCATCCCTGTAGGACACTAGATATATATAACCTTAAGAACAATAGCCTTTAAAAGGAAGGTGTAGTTTTAGTACATTTAATTAGCAAATCAAAAATATGGGTGCCACGGCATTTAAAAACCACCTGATTATCAGACTAAAGTTCAAGGAGACAGTTAGATCCTGCAGTTGCATTTTCTATAGGAGGGAGTATCTGGGAGAAAAAAAATTAGCAATTTAGGTGTTGTTCTTACATATACATCAACATGTTTACAATAATATGGGAAATCCGTATTTTCTCATTTTTGAGATAAGAAAAACATTAGAGTTGCATATACATCAATTGAGTTTTCAATATCACGAAGATCTCTTTTTAGAAATATTTTAGAAATAACATTTCTGACCAAATTTGTAGAATAGGTATAATCTTAAAAATCAACTCTTTGAGTCAGTTACAAATTGTTTTTACCGCGTATAATTAGCCCTGGGTCCAAATTCATAAATGCAAAGATAGTTCAGGCATCGCTAGAGTACAGGTATCTTAAACGATACTTCAGTACCTCTAGAATAGGCCTTTAATTTTCTTTCCAGCTGTAGATTTACCTGCCAGGAAAAAACTAAATAGTTTCTTCCTGTTCTGTTCACTTCATCAAAGTCCAATAAAGGAATTAAATGAAGCGACAGTATTATATACTGTTACCTAGATCTTGACCTAGTAATTGATTTGATATCCTTCTTGTCGTCATCTAGTTTCTTGTCCTCGGAAGATTTCGTGTCTTGCAGGTTCTCATCGCCCTCGTCGTCGGATTTGATCTCAGAGCTGCCGGAGGAGACGCTCTGGCCCTGCAGGCCTGGGGGCATGCCTGCGGAAACAGAGGGACCCTGTGATGTCTTCACCAAAGACCCCAGGCACAAACTCGCACCCCAGATTTGGAGCTGCCAGCGATGCAATTCAAGCTGCTCAACTGTGACCCTTCTGTCTTTTGTGTGTGTGTATGTACTACCTGGTGAAGTTTCAGAAATGCACCTGCGGAAGCAAGTTCTCTCTGCATTGGCTCTGAGGTTAAATTCTATTTTGCAATCTTTTGGAGTAGATGGTAATTTCACTGTCTACAAAACATCAACTTAATTGCAATGAAAATCATAATCATGAAAATCATACACCTCAATGTTCTGATTAAGAACCCAAGTAAATATCAGCTATTATATTGAGTTTCTTCCATATGCAATGATTTAATAGAAAAATGTCCTTAAAATATAATTCCCAGGGAGTATGCTAAATATGTACAGTCAAGTCTTCAATAGATATCCTAATGATATTCTGAAATTAGGCTTCTCTTATCCTCAAAGAGTAATCAGCATTTAAAAATGGTACATATGGAAAGCAGATAGCTGCGCGCTGAAGAAATTTCAAGCTTTCTCGTTGCTCAACTTTCAAGATCACAACACACATTAAAACTTGACCCTAATGCAAGCCTTTATTTCTAGGGTAGAAGCTTGTATATCGAGTATTGCCCTCTATTTGTAATCTGTGGCTGGGAACCTTGTCACTCGAAATTTGGTCCATGGACCAGGAGCATCCTTACACCTGGGAGCCCGTTCAAAATGCAGAATCCCACACCTGCCGAGTCAAAATCTGAATTTGAACAAGACCTCAAGTCACGCTTATACGCGTTAAAACTTAAGGAACATTAGTCTAGGAAAGAAAAAGAAAAACCAAAGGCTCTTTAAAAGAATGGTCTGCCACATTCTTACTGTTCAAATAAAATGGGGCGGCATCCCCATATATAATTAATACTCAGATGAGTACAATGTTTAACAGGTGAAAAATCTCAGGCATATCCTGTGGTAGAGTTATCATTCTTGTTCTAAACATGAGGGGAATGAGATGTTATTCAAGTGTCTCCTCATCACCTGCTCAGTCAGTTGCACAGAGAGCCTGGGACCCGGGTCTTGCCCCAACAGGACAACTTCCTGGGGTCATGAAAAACCCATCGCAGTATGACTGAAGTAATCATTATGGGGCTAGATGACTCAATACCGAAAATCGTTCAAACAACTCCATTTTTTAAGATGTGCCTATATTTCCTCCAATCTTCAACAACAAAAACAGTTTCCTTCCTTCCTATTCATTTGGAAATATCATTTTCAGGCTACAACTAACCATATTAGAGGAGCTGAATGAGTAAGATGTGGAAATAGCTAAAATAAAATTTCCTCTCATCAGTCTGTTGTCTTGGTCCCTGCTGAAACAGCACCAGGATTTCAGAGGATGTTTGAAGAAAACAGCTACTGAAGAAACACAATTAGCTGTTCTAAATACTTTCCCATTTACTTACCATTTGGGGGCCAAATTTGATTCTTGGTTTTCTGCCAGTGCTTCCTGAGGGACGAATGCCAAGTAAGCGGGGGATCAGCACTAGCTCTGCTGTTGTGTGAGGACAGAAGTGCCCCAGTGGACCTACCTCTGTACGGGTCCTGCGGCGGGTTCAAATCAGGGGAGGTGGCCGACTGGACAGGAAGCTGTGGGACTGGAACCTGGTTTGGCACAAGAGAATGGCTGCCTCTCAGGGCCACTCCGTCTTCACGATGGGCCCCGACCTGCAAGGCGAGAGGAACCATAGAGTTTAGCGGGAACCAGAGGTGAGACAGCTGTTTATGGGGGTAGCCAGGACCTAATGAAGGAAGACTGGCCTTTGCAAAACAAAACTCCCAAATGCATTTCACTAGAGGGCGCTGAAGGACCACGCATACACCTAGAGTGCCCTGCACAGCCACTTAACACTCAGCAAGATGCCGTGCTGTACATCCAGTGACAAATATGGCAGAGGAGCTCAGGCAGGTAAAACGTCAAATTGTCTCCCAGGGTGCTGCAGTGGAGCGCACTGATTCGTACCCATCTGTCTTCTATCATGTCCGCCAACAGATCTGACAATTATCTTAATGCCCATATGCTTAATTGTGGGCTTCTCAATTCCCCCATTGCTATCGGAAATCCTACAGGAATTTCAATTTGGCATTCGACTTTCATTTCAGGGGATAAGATTCTCAGGCCTGCCATTTTTTTTCCATAATGCCAGCTAAGCCTGTGACAGCGGAAGCGGCAGCAGTATGGGACGCAGCCCCTGCTCGGTACAAATATAATAAAATGTCACCTGGCTTTCCAAAACTGGCAGCCCATTCCAAATTAATGTTTACTGTATTTCATCAGCTGCCGAGTTCCAAATCCAAAGGGGGACGGTTGCTGCCAATGCCACCACACCGGAAAATGTCCCAATAAAGCTTTTATTAAACACACCAGTAATGCCATCATTGCCATGCAAAGAGTTTGGACATTGTTCCATTTTTTTTTTCTTCACTATTCTGATCCCAGGAAGACACCATATTGTAAACAGTCTTTATGCTTCCAAGAATAAAGTCATAGAGTACAGCACGATGCTTCGGTCTGAAAAACCCGCTGCTGAGCTTTTTATTAACTAGTACTACCTACTCCGGGCCCAGAGATGTTGAACCCATGGCATGAAGGCAGCAATTGCTGACTTTAGAGGGTACACCGCCTTAAAGCAGAACATCAAGCTTTTGCAAACTAAGAGGAACCTGAGTAGCTGCATTTTCGTTTGCATTTCCAACTAGTTATTTTCTTAGCTTGTTGTTAGGTGAACATTTATACAAGACAATGAGTCTAACACTGAATATATTTATCTACAAATTTAGACTGCTATAAATCAAAAACTTGAATTTTTTCTCATTCAAAATATAAAGCCACAAAGGAGAATCACCACTCTTTTGCTACCAAATATTTAAAGAGTATTTCTAAGGAATGCAACAACAAGAATCTGAGCTGACAACAGTCGCATTCCCAGAACTGAGCAGAGGCAAGTTAGCTAAGGCAGCCCACTATCCAGTTCTCACCGTTACAGGCAATTCAAAGAAGATAATTCAGGAGCGGGGGAAAGGATCAATTGCTCAGATTCAAAATATAGCAAGAATAGTATAGGATTTAAAGACTCGTGAAGTATAAATGAACGTTGTAGCTAAGAGATCTGAGCAAGCCTGTGCTGTCTGCCACCTACGTGCCTGAGTCCCTTTCTGGATCATTCTAAATGGTGGTTATTTAGGTCTTCTGAGTGTGCAGCAAATGCACTGAGACCCTGATGGTCTCCCAAAGCAGTCCATTCCATTTTCACCCAAAGTCGGTCTCCTTGCACATTCCACCACTGGTTCTAGTTTCAGCCCCTGGGTTCATGGAGTAAGTGTAAGCCCTTCTCACATACGTAATGCCGTTGCCACGCCACTCCTGTCTTTCATGTGTAACTGAAGCCTGCTCCCTTACAGGCAGACCATGCCCACAGCTCCGCCAGCCATTTCTCACTCACTGTTGGGACATGTTTTTATTTTTCCTCCCAAACAAAGACTGATACTATTTTCCATTCAGGCTTTGGTTTGCCATGTTTAAATCTGTGCATTCCCCAGATTTATTCCTTCGATGATTACCCTTTCCATCCAAAATGTCAACTTGTAAGCATGAATTTCAAAGGCCTTGATCAAATGGTCACTCTTTAGTCTGTCAATGTTACCCTAAACAATTACCTTAGCGCTGACTCATATTTTTTGGTATTCCCAGTGGATTTCAGTTCTTGGACTTCCACAAAGGAGGATTCTAAGTTGGAATCACTGAGGTAACCATGGATTGGAGCATAGCAGAGGTGTTTTAGAATTATTATGTTACAACTTTCAAGCCCTCTTTGTAGGCATTTATGATATAATTTAAGGTTAATATTTTGCTTTTCACTTAAAATATATTCAGATATTAATTCTGCAATTTCTTCTTTCCCCCTCTTGGTCACACTGAGATTAGTTTTTACAAGAGGAAAAAAGAATTCATAACCAATTACCTTTTATTTTCTTTGCCTCAACTATTATGGAAGACAGTGTAACTGAGTGAAAATAATACAATGATGAGAGTCGACAATATCTAAATTCTAAGTGTAACTGGTTTCTTTAATAGTTGTATAACGATGAATAAGTTACTCAAAGCCCAAAATGGAGAAAATAATACTAGAAGTTTTAGAGAATAATTCCCATGTCTAATGCAAGAAGAAGAGATATGTCAAACAGCTGGTACCCAGTGATAATAGAGAGTGTTCTGTGTTCTGAAAATATGTGCGTAATACATTACCATAAGGGTCTCAGTAGTTCCAGAACCCTCAGAACTCAAGCTGCCTGTACTTCCAATCATCTTTGCCTCTATTTTGTTCATATCCATTTAATTTTAAATCTCTCTCCTGCAGGATGACAGTAAAATCTTACATGATATTATTATAAATATGTTTGAGAATATAGTTGTTCCAACTATGTTTTTGTTTAGATTTTAGCCATATATGCTACCTAATTTTATATATTTTCCATAGATCATTTTAGATCATCTCAAGAAATACATCAATTATTTTCCATAAAGAAAGTTGGGGACAAAGTTATCCTTACTGTTTTAAGACCTTCTTTGTAAACGGATGTATTCCAGGTCAAACAAAGGATGGATGATAGGTTCTGATCCATGTGTAACGACCCTGAGTCTCTAGGACCAAGTCCAATGCCCCTGGCTATCAGATAATATTTTAATCTGAAGAATTAGCTTTGCATGTTTCCTTGACCACAACAGCATCCTATTCAGTTCTCTTTCAGAAACATTACTTCTTGTCACATAAAAGACAAGGAAAGAAAGACAGTAGGTGGCCAGCACAAATCCACCACTAGGGTAGCTCAGAAACAGACGGAGGAACCAATACTGCTATCTGTACAGGCCACGGCCAGGATCTGTCAACTTTCCTTATAACGTGATCATGTAACTAGAAAAAGCAGATTCTTTTAAACTTACAAATAGGTTCTTAGGATGGCGCCTTTAAAAAAGTAAAGAAAATTCATGCTTGATTAAAGCCCCATTTTGATAATAACCTTTTAACATAGATAAGCAATAGTTTAAAGTTAAAAGCCAGCCTAGGAAAACAGTTCACTTAATTAATATTGATTGCAAATGCTTTTGCAGTCTGTAGGAACAGCCTTCTTACTGTCACATACTATATGGTTTTAGATATATTTATGCTAAAAGTAAAAGATAGAACTAAAATCTAAAAATATATTCAATAACTGTTCATTGATTCAGTGCACATTAAATCACAAATGTTTACGAATCTAGCCCATGCTTGTAATTCTGCGAGGGACAGGGGACACATGGTGAAGAGCCTGGATATGGCCCTGTCCTTGTGAGCTTACAGTGACCTTAGTGAGACTTTGTGCCCCGAGATCAATTTAGTGAGATAGCTCTAATAGTAAGAACCAGAGCCTCACTCAAGCTTGGCCAAGATATAGCTGTCAGAAGGGAGGAGGGCTGGGGGGCTGGGTGAAAAAGGTGAAGGGGTTAGGAAAAAAACAAACAAACAAAAACCTCATAAAGATAACAGCATGGTGATGACCAGAGGGAAGGGGGTTAGAAGACAGTATAGGGGGATAAATAGAGGCAGAAGGAGACGTGGCTTTGGGTGGTGAACACACAATATACAGATGATGTATTATAGACTTGAACACTGAAACCTATATAATTTTATTAACCAGTAAATTAAATTTAAAAAAGCTTTATCATGAAGGTTTCTGTAATTTAGGTTTTGGACCCAGAAGATTCTCAGGACCTAAGGCCACTCCCTATGTCTCATGAGCGGTTCCAGCCTATCTCCTCCTCAGCTGGAACCTGTCTCTCTCTGACTCTGCCCCTCATGACTCCGACTCTTCTTTCACACTATCTTGTGGTACATTCCTTCAGGATCCATGCCTTCTGCTAACTCCCTCTCTGTCTTAGTATTTCTGAGTTCAGAATGTCAAGATCATCTGATGGCCCAGCTCATTTTGAAGCAGATGTGGGCCATCCTTTGAATGGGCCACCCTAGGATCGGTGTCCTCATTCGTGGTCCCATGAGCTACAAAAGAGGAAGAGGAGGCCAGATCATGTGATCTCAACATCTCTGCCTTTTCTTCAGGCCCTGCAGACCATGGCTGTTATGTGCAAATATCTAAGTTACATTTCATCTTCTCAAGTCATATTCAAATTACAACACAGCTATTTAAATTCTGTGTTAATTTATCATTGGGCAGAATTAAATAACTTTAGAAGTGCATTACTTCTTTTGAGTCTGTAAGCACCATAAATATTAAATAACCTTGCTTTCTGAGGAAAATATTGATATAGTAGAAGCACTTTTAAATCATAGTATTTGGAGTTTAAGACCTTGGAGACACTTGGGAACCAGTTAGGCCAAATTCCTCATTTGACAGATAAGAAAGCTAAGGCTGGAAGTGGCTAAGTGACTGAGTGAATGTCCAGTTAGAGGGCTGAAACAAATTTTAAACTCAGAAAACTTATAACATTGAACAATTTTATTTGGTATACATACAGGGTAGGGGGGGCAAAAGTAAGTGAACAGTTGTTCTTATGGAAAATAATACAATAACTTTTAAGTAATACAAGAATAAAGTCTGTGTTTTGCATACTCACAATAGTAAACCTACGTTTGCCCCACCCTGCTTACAGATTTAAGGGACAAAAAGGGTCT